TTTTCCCCAATGTTTTTACTTGTTCTTTTCTTTTCTCTCTACACTTGACAATGATGTTAGCTGCTAACCCTGTCTGCTTCTTAATCTTTACTGAAATATTTTATTATTTGGCTGAAGTAGCTAACATACTTTGCCTTTGGTTTTATTGTTGTTAAATTTTATTATATTTAAATAAATTGCTGTATTATATTTAGTTTTCTTCTATTTGTATTTTATTTCAAATATTTTAAGTAAGAATTATTTCATTCTATCAAAGACATTTTCTGATTAAGTACATTGGTCAGAGCCAATATCTGAACTTTCTATGTCACTTACAATCATTTAGATTTTGAGAAAGTGTGGGACAGATCAATTTCCAGAAAACAGCCAGTGCTTTTACAATGATTTTCACTTTGATCAAAGATATCTGAGTTTTGCTTTCAACACAATATTAATCTTAGAAAATATATGCATTCCCACAGCAGAAATATACTTATCTCTAAACATGTCCTCAATGACAAATTTTCATGATAAAAATTTGTAACTGTTTTGATATCTAATTATAACACATTGAGTTAAATCCCTGTTGCATTTTATGCCTCTTGATCTTAAAGTAAATTTAGCTTTCTAATTACTGTTGCTGATTCTTCTGTCTTCAAAATATCCCAAGTAGTAATTTTCTGACTTATTTTCATATCCTCATTTGTCAGCATTGGCCACAATTAGAAAGTTGCCAGTATTTAAACCTGGAATACTCAATCTCTCTCTCTCTTTTTTTTTTTTTTTTTTTGGAGCCTTCTTTTTCTTTAGTTGCAATTATTTCACAATGATAATTCAGTTCTCTTGCCTCATCACAAGATTGCAAAAATACATTTTCCTAAATTGGTTGTTTTATTTTTAGGACTCAATGTCTTCCTAGAAAATTTTAATTCAAAATTAAACCTAAACCTATTATGGTTTTTCATAGCATTATTTTGTTAATAAAAAAAATCTTTGTAGTCCTCTTAAGTATGATTAATTCTACAAAAATATAGTAACTGAAGTGTGACCTCAGCTTCTCATTCGAGACTCCATGGTACCTTCTAAAACTCATTGGTAATCAAGTTTATAATGGCTACTAGTCTTTGACTCTTTAAACACTGGATTACATTATTCATTTGTAGACTAATACACAAATTTTTATAAAGTAGAAAATCTTTTGAAATTAGGTAGACTTGGGTCTGAATCCTGGCTCCATTTATAAACTGTACTAACTTAAGAAATGTTCTTAAAGTAATTGAGCCTCAACTAAAAATGCATGTGATAATGCGTACTCCATTCATTTGTCCAATTCCTATTATAATAATTGAAATTTAATGAAGAAAGCCAATACAAATACTGAGAAAATTAATTATCTTAATATTAAACTAACTGCAATGTGATTAAAGCATTTTATAGAATAAATTATTGCTGAGACTATGTCAATTGATTGAACTTGGAATCATAACATATATTCAATTCCATAATTATGGGAAGTATTTATCTTTTACCTGTAAAACATTTGACTTGAAAATGTTCTATGGTTTTAAATGAAAAACAATTGAGATCATTATTTTAAATTTTGATGTCACCAAAAAAATTAGCAACATAAGAAAAGTAATTATGTCTGAGAGAATGACTATTTTGCTTATATTCAGAATTTAAAATCTTACATCTGGAGATTTAAGTAAATATAAATGTTAATTATAAAACATCTATCACTAATTACATGGAATATCTCTTAGAGAGTCACATGTGCATAAATATATTAACTAATCTCTTAAAGCTTTGATTACTGCTTTCCCTTTGCAAGCTCCCATAAGCAAATAAATTCATTATAAGGAGGGTTTTTTACAAAAATTTATATTATGCAAATTTCCTTTGAAAATATTATTGAATGTGGACCTTCCAGGAACATTGGAAAGATATTTTATCCACATGCTATGTGTAAGAAAACTCAGTTTTAAGGAGCAATTGCATTACTAAACCAAAGCAACAAGACCAATAAGTAGCAAGATACTATACCATTCAGCACATATTCCTCTCAAATGATCATCACCTCATCTGTTCTTCAATAATTACCAGAATGAGATATTTGTTTTCCAAGGAAACTGAACTATTATCATACCATATCTTATAATTTCTCAGTATCCCACAGTTGATAGTTCCTTATATCTCTTCAAGAACTGAAATAGGCCATATTCATTATTGCATTAATACCTGACCACACTTATAAGTTCTTCTACAAAGGCTTTACCAAACCGGTCTCTCTTTTTCCTGCTCTAAGGCTTGTCTTCTGCACAGATTCCGAGAAATCCAGAAATACTAACTCAGAAGGTAGGATGCCTCAAAGCTCACTTTGAACTCACTACTCTCTGTCCTAACACTATGACAGAATTTAGTATCATTTCTTTCTACCTCTCCAGGCTAGATTATCCTTATTCAGGTTGCACAAACCTCACCTTCAATTATTCTTTATTGCAAATCACTAAATTACAAAGTAGAAGTGAATGATATAGATCAATTAATTAAGCCCATGTTCTAAATGTACAGATTTACTCAGACTTTTCCAGTAAGTGGATACCCTAATTTTTTAACAACTTCAGGATAGAAATATCTACAAGACAGCCTATTCCATTTTTATACTGCAGTAGCCATTAGAAAAACTTCTTATCTTGTGACAACCCGGCAATACTTACTAATAGTAAAATAAGACACACATATTCCATTTGTCTCAGCAATTCAGATTTTGAGTTAATTCTCACAGAAGCCCATAGGGGACAGGTGTTAAATACAGCAACATTGTGTTGCAGAAGAGCCGAGTGTGGTCATGTGTGTGTCACTGATATAGTGAATGGGCAAAATCTTGTGTACAAACCATGTGGAGTACCATGCAACAATTAGAAATAGTAGTCTGAATGTACACAATGTAGAAAAAACAGATCTTTCAACACAACTTGTGCAGAGGGGAAAAAAGTTTTAAAAATATATGTAATAATACCATTTATATAGATTTAAAATAAGTAATTAAATAACCAACTTTCCTGGGACTTTAGTAAAATGAAATGAGATATTTTCATATAAAGTAACATAAATTATAAGATAAATGAGAAATAAGCATAAGAATAGAAATAAAAGACAAATACAAAATTTTTAAAAATCAAGGATAGTTTTACCTCCTCTTTTTTATTTGAACACCCTTCATTTCTTTCTCTTGCCTGATTGCTCTGGCTAGGACTTCCAGTGCTATGTTGAATAGACATGGGGTGTAATGAACATTGAAAACTAAAGTTGGAAAGATGGGAGGAAAATGAGGGATAAAAAAAATCTACATATCAGATACAATGGGCCCTATTCTGGAGATGACTACACTGAAAGCCCTGACTTCAGCATGATACAATTTATCCATGTAAAAAACAAACAAATAAAAACCACTTGTACCCTCTAAATTTTTTGAAATTAAAAAAAAAAAACACAGAGAAGAACCATGTGTGGATAAATGATACAAATGAGTTTGTTAGGCTCAAACCTTTACTGTTTCTTTAAATTATTTTTTATTTTGGGAAATTATGAGAGTACAAACATTTTGGTTACATGTTATGACTTTGCCACATCCCAATCATGATTTGAGATGTGCCCTCCCCCAAGCCCTACAATGTTCACTGCGTCCACATCCATTTACCTAAGTTTTTGCTTTGTCAGCCTCTTGTCCTTTCCCCTCAATGCCCAAAGAACTATGGAGTTTGGGCACACACTGTTGATAGACTAGCACAACCCTTAGCCACATCCATGTTTTTTTGTTTTTTTTTTTTATCCACCTTCAACTAAGAGTGGCCACATAACACAAATGTCCAAACAGGAATAGTCAGAAGTCTTATAGGAAGAGTTTCCCTTCCCGTAGAAAAGGACAAAAGTTCTTAAAAGACCTAATGCTCTTAATCATTTGTCCTTCTTACTTTTCCTGCCAAGACTTGAGCAGAATGTCAGTCTTACAGAGCAACCACTATGAAATTATAAGGGTGAATGGCACTTGCATGTTTATTGCAGCACCATTCACAATGTCAAAGATATGGAATAAGCCTAAGTGTCCATCAGTGGATGAATGGACAAAGCAACAGTGAGGCACAGAAAGAGAAAAGGGTACTGCTTCTTTCCGATTTCCTTTAGCACTGTAGGAGGCTTACCTGCTTTCTCCAAGAGTTTATGTTTCATGTGATTTTTTTAAAAAATGTTAACATTAAATGAATTTTGTTGCCTCTTTTCTTTTCTTTTTTTTTATTTCAGCATATTATGGGGGTACAAATGTTAAGGTTACGTATCTTGCCCATTTAATTACCATGACTTAAACACAGGGCCAACCCAGTCACTTCTGGACCAGTGTACTAACCTCATAAACAGATTCCTTTTCTCATTAATCTATTAATAATCCTTTATCATGCATGATATAAAATTTTGAAAATGGTATTTGTGGTTATATTTAGATATAAGTGTAAAGAATTAACACACAAGTAATTAAGAAATGTATGAAAGAGCCAGTATTTAAATTCAATCAATTAGAAAAATTGTCTTCTCCTAAGTTGTGGTCACCCAGTTTTCCAAGAGGCCACAAATTCTGAAATTAATGGTGACACTGATACACAAAAGCCCAGATTTATTAGTAAATAAAGATTTTTATTAAGAAACTGCTGTTTTTATTCCATTTCAGTATGCCTTAATTATATAATCTTCTTGTACTTCTGTAAATAGTCACAGTATAAAGATGGAGTAAAAGATGTAGGAATTTACTTTTGAAAATTAATCAGAATAAAATCTACTGTCTTCAGGGATGTGATGAAATTGCTCAGTCTCTATCCACAGCACACGGCTTTTTGTATTTTAATTCAGGTACCCAGCAGACAACAGTCAATCTTTACTTTGGTGTGAAGATAATGAAAAGGGGAGATTTCAATCGCACTTGACCATGGAGTGGTCATTTCAAAGGCAAGGATGATCTGTAGTGATGATTAGCAGCAAGAGGAATAGCATCTTCTGTAGCAAGATGGTCGGTAGCCACAGCATCCGGAGCCATAACCACAGCCATGTCCAAAGGTACCTCCATATCCACAGCCATATCCGCAGCCAGACCGGAATCCACAGCCACTTCCGTATCCACAGCCATATCCACAGCCAGAGCCAGAACCATATCCACAGCCATATCCACAGCCAGAGCCATAGCCACAGCCAGAGCCATATACACAGCCAGAGCCATATCCACAGCCATATCCACAGCCAGAGCCATAGCCACAGCGATATCCACAGCCAGAGCCATAGCCACAGCGATATCCACAGCCAGAGCCATAGCCACAGCGATATCCACAGCCAGAGCCATAGCCACAGCCATATCCACAGCCAGAGCCAGAGCCACAGCCAGAGCCATATCCACAGCCAGAGCCATATCCACAGCCGTAGCCAGAGCCGTATCCACAGCCATATCCACAGCCAGAGCCATATCCACCGCTCCCACAGGAGTTTCCATAGTAGTTGCAACACATGGTGTCGGGAAGTGAGGTTTCAGGTGAGGTGTAGGAGAATATTTCTCAGGTGTGAGTGTCATCTACTCTTCCAGCATCTTTATATACTCCCAGGGATGGATGGGTCATACTCACATGGTCCCTGTTCTCTCATTTGACAACCATTTGCCTATAAGGAACTGATTCTGTATACAACCACTTTGTTAGGAATTCATCATTTACTTACTGCTTCCCTAGGAAGTTGTTCAAGCCTTCAGTGGAAATAAATATAACATTTCTTAAACACCCAAGCTTATACAACTATAATTTTATCTTCCATAATTTCATTTCATGACCATGACCTAACACATCCTCAAAATATGTTTGACCTATAGATATGTGTTTATCATATTCTGCTCTTTCATGATTTTGGCAATCATCTATTAAATTATAAGTTCTACTCACTACTTTCATGTCATCATCATTTTAATTTATTTCTTCCCTAATACTTTGTTTTTTCCATTATAATGACTCTGAATTACTTCTCATGAATTTTGGATGAAGAATTAAGTATTTCAACATGCAACATCCACTCCTTGAAACACTCTTCTTCTCTCTGAACAAAAGCTTTTCCATCCACATTTTTGCCAGGCAGATTATTGACATTTTTTTTCCTTCTACGAGGGAAAAAAGTTTTGTTAAACTTCTGATGGGCCAATTATATGAAGAGATAGATCATTTATTATACAAACAAACTTGTCTAAGAGTTTCAATTTATGGTGAGGGAAATTCCTTGACTCACAACATCTTTTATTGCTGAAGTCCAACCGGTAAGTCCAATTCTTAAACACATATCTGTTTTTGGGTTTACTCAGTCTACTCTCACGTTTGTGCTTCATATCATTGCTTCCCATGAAAATATAACCAATCAATAATTAATACCTCCAGACAAGTGGAGTGGATGGGGAAGGGGGAGAACTTTATCAAAGGACAGGCAATTTCAGTAAGACAAGAGGAATCAGCTTTAGTTGTCTATCTCACAGATGGTGAACTATAATAAATAATAATGCAGTGTATATTTCAAAAATTTCTAAAAGGGAAGATTTGAAATATTTTCACCACAAAAAAAGCATTAAGTATATAAGGTGACGGATTTGTTAATTAGCTTGATTTAATCATTTGCAGTATTTTCTTGATTTTAGTCTCAGTCTTTTCCTAAATAAAAGTTTAATAATGATATTTACTCACTCTGTTTTTGTTGAATAACCTCACATTATGACATTGATAATAGTTAACCTTTCCATGGAATTACTTCTTCATCCTCTCTTTGACTTGATATCATCCTCTCCTACCATCCATGATAAATGGGTTTATGGTCCGTGACCTCTCTTCATTGACAATTCTTCGACTTCGCCCTAAGTTTGGGGATTCTTATGACTACTTTAACCTTCATCTTTGCTTCTCACTTCACACACTCCATAATCTCATCTGCTACCACTGACTTCACTACTTTATATACACAAATGGCTCCTAGAACTAAAATTATCTGTGTTAGTCTGGGTCCAATCAGGAGACAAAAATATCACACAGTTGGTTAATCGGTGAACGTTTCATATAAAAATTATAAACGATAATAAAAGAGAATCTATACAATATGAAGAAACTATGTGGTACTCCAAGGCTGTCAAAAATACTCAAGAAAGGAAAAACTTGGAAGAGATATTCTACTCACCAAATGTATGGATTGAAAAAATTGTTGTGCTATAGTTGATAATACTGTATTGTGCACTTTAAAACATTCGTTAAGAGGGTAGATATCACATTAAATGTTCCTACCACTAGAGGAAAAAAAATAGAGCAGAGGAAACTTTTATAGATTATGAATATGTTTATTATCTTGATTGTGGATATGGTTCATGGGAGTATGCATATGTCTGAACTCGGGAAACTATATACATTAAATATGTGTTTGTATATTAATTATATTTCAATAAAGCTAATAAAAAAAACTTGCTTTGCAGTCACTGGGAAAGCAGAAGGCACCCTCTGGAGCCCAGTGGGTGAACAAATGATGCACATCTGGTGGTGTGGGCATTGGAAGGTCTGGGAAGCCCTGGGCTATAGGAAGACTAGGAGAGGGGAGTGGGTACAGCCTGTGGACGGGAATCTGGATGCCTGTGTGGGTAGGAGCCCTGCAGAGACTCATGGGCAAAAAGTCTTCACAGTGCTAGTTTTCATGTAGAAGGGTCCAAATAAAAGTTATTGCTGGGCTGAAGCTCAATGTCACTGAGGACCCAAGATATTTTGGACCCAAGGCTGGGGTGGAGCTTCACCAGATGTCCTCACACCCACACTACCAACACCCTCTACTTCCCTTCTATGCTGCAGGCAAACAATGCAGGTGAGCTGCTTCCTCCTGCAAAATGTCCCTGCAGCATCCTCTCCTGAGAAAAGCAAAAGTTGCACCCACATTAAAGGAGAAATGCTTAAAAGAATCCCATCTATCATCAAAGCACATATATTGAAGGATGAATTTGATGCTGAGAGGCCATAAATTGATAACCAGTACAGATTTTTTTTCCCAAATTCCAGAGGCTCTGTCGTAGAAATAACTTTCTCTGGCAAACAGATTGATTAATTTCCTGGCTGAGACATTGACTAATTTTACGGTCATTGGGAATGTCTTCAATCTGTGTGAACCTCAGTTTCTGCAACTGCCAAATGGGATTAAAAATAATTACATGTATTTAAAAATTTTGTCAAGAGACCTATAGAAAATATATAGGAAATATAAAGTTTGTAGCACATAACCTGACATATAGCAGAGACAATATATTTATTTCTTTTCTCCCTTTCCTTTATCAAAATATAAGCATTTCCAAATAACAGTTTTTCAAATTTCTCTATGTACTTGTATTGATCTATTAATTATACTAATATTTTAGGATTTGCTTTAATGTCACTATTTTTAAAGTATGTATAAGATATAGATACATCATAAATATTCACATATATCAATTAATGTTTTTCATTTAAAATTGTCAAAAATGGCCACACATCCTCAGAAAATGAACTACCATGTAATCACCTCAGTTCACCTTGCTCCTGAAGCATTTTTCATGGTAATGTTTTTGTAAAATTATGGAATCAAGCAATACATCATAGGGCTTGGCTTCACAGCATACTTGGAAGCTCAGTAACCATGAAAATTCATTAAAATGACCAACACCTAAATTGGAAACGTGCCTATGTATTAAATAGGGTGAAAGTAAATTTCTGCATTCCCAGACTGTCATATGATTGCTATGTCAGTCAGTCAGTCTGTGTTTGGAAGTGTGGCCATACTGCAGTTGAAGATTTCTGTGGAAGTGAGTAATGTGTCCCTATAAAAAGGTCCTACTGGTTCATGAGATCATATTCTAAAAGTTCTATAAGAATCACATGACAGCAAATATGCATGTATATCCCTTCTTTTTACTTATATGTCAATTTAATCTGAGTCAAAATGTGATTTTATCCAACTTCGCATACAACTAGGCAGTAAATGCTTTTTCTATTGGAAATATTTCCTCTTCAGATGTCTGTATTTGAGACTTAAAATCATTCTGTGAAACTACTGGATTATGAATTATGAATATCATTTTAACTAAGGAGGAGGCTAAGGTTCAGGACAGTTCAAGTCCTAATCAAAACCACATTTCCAAGTTTTCTTGATCTAACATGCTGCCTATAATTTTCTCCAGAAATAGATCAGTAACTTCTCCTTGAATGTTCTCAGTTTGTGGGAACTCTCAACTTCCTGTCTGAAACAAATTTCATTATATTGTGAAAATTTCTTGATGTTAGTAGTTTCTATACAACCTAAGTCTCTCACAATTGCTGATGAGGAGTTCCTATTGTAACTTGAGACCCTTGCATGCACATTTCTTTTCCTGAGTCCTACCTAGTATACCCCCCCATAAAATCCCTAGTGAAGCTTTTGATTAATATGAAATATTTTTATCTCCTGCCTTCTTTTTAGGTTTAATCTTCTGCAGATACTTGAGCAAATCTCAAAGACCTGCCTTACTTTGCTAATATGGTATATCATGCCTTGCTTTTCTCCTGTAAGATAAGATGTTCAAGATGCACTCATCATCTCTGGCCACCTTCCAAACCTATAAACAGTTATTTCTTTCTCCTCTTTCTTATTGCTTTTAAGAACATTACTACTTTTTTCAGTGACTCTAAGCCTCGTAGTCTTTGTTTAAATTATAAAAATCAGTATTCTTTAAGACTCATATTTGAAAGAGGTGTTAAGGTTCAGTTAGATTTATTTGGTCCCTGTGTGATTTAATTTCCTCATACAATCCAAAATAAATAGTAAGGCAGCCCAAAGCTGGACAACTATTCCCTGCACCAAATTCCAGTTTGGGGCTCTTACATTTAGGAAATTGTCATATATTAAGAAGTCTAAACCTCCTTGTAATTCAAACATGTTGATCTAATTCTGGTTCCTGGAACTAGGAAACCAATTTTAATCCACATTACATATAACAACCTTTAAATATATGGAAAAAATTAGTACCTCTCCTTGTACTCAACACAAAGCACTATGAGGCACACGCTTCCAAGTATTCTTTCTTGTAGCCTCCTCTTCCTATCCCCCTCCTTCTCTTAGCTTCCTTTGCAAATTTCCAAGTCTAGACCATAGCACTTATCTTTTCAACTAGTCTCATACCCTCTTAACAGGAGGATTTTTTCCTTTCCTCCACAGTCCTATCCACTCCCACGTTTGGGAATGGTCTAGAAATGGTATAAATGCGTGTGTCAGTGTTGATATAAAATGTGATACATTTGTAGATGGTAAGGAAATAGTATTAATTTGCATTTCGATATTTATATAAAATAACAAATAAGCAGAAAACATATTTAAAAGTTGCAAGTAGAAGAACAAATGGCTGGATAAAGCAATAAATATCTTAAAATAAAATCCAAACAAATCTGAACTCCTTTTTAGCACAATGCCCTGTATGATCTGGCCTCAACCTACCTCTTCACCCTTGCTTTTTTCTGTTCCCCTATTTATACAATAAGCTGTAGTCATCTGGATCTCTTTACGGTCCCTAAGCATGGTAAATGCCTATCACCTCAAGGCCTTTGCACTTGTTCCTCCCTCTGCATGAATCATTCATTCCCCAGTTCTGACACCTACTCACATTGAGATTTTTCAAATCCAAGCTTGCCACTTCTTCAAAGACGCTTATCTGATCTTCCTATCCAAAATAGGGCCCTTGGATTTTTTTTATAGCATATCACTACTTATTTTATTAATGATTATAAAAAACTTTTGACAATATTTTTATTTATTTAGATGTCTGATAGGTTATTGAAGCTTTCACCTGTCTCCCTAACTAGAATATGTCCATGTCCTCTGTGAGTACAAATACAGTCAATCTTTTTCAATGTTGCATTAGAGCCCAACAAGAAAATCAAAGAAGACCTAACTACATGCAGAGATATATCATGATTATGGATCATACTCAGTATTATTAAGAGGTTCATTCTCCCAAAACTGATCTATAGATTCAACTCAATCCCTATCAATATGTCAACAGAATATAGTTTTTAGATATCAACAAGCTGATTTGAAGATTTAAATGGATCAGTCAATATATTTTATTTATTTTGTAGTTTATAATTAACACATAATAATTATACATAAGTATGGGGTACATTGTGATGTTTCAATGCATGTATACATAGTATAATAATCAAATTGAGGTAATTACTATATCCATCACTTTAAATATTATCATATCTTTGTGGTGATGACATCCAAAATATTCTCTTCTAGACATCTTGAAATAAACAATACATTGTTATTTGCTATAGTCACCCTATTGTGTAGTAGAACACTAAAATTTATTCTTCCTGTCTTCCTGTACCACAGTCAAAATAATTTTGAAAAAGGTCAAGGTTGAGAGCTTCATGCTACCTAGTATCAGGATTTACTACAATCCTGCATAAAACAAAACTATCTAGTATTGAGGAAAGAATGAACAAAAAGTAAGTAGTAGTTGAAGGAATAAATAAGCCTAAGACTCCACTAACATCGTAGTTGCCCAACTTTCCAGGAAGGACACAAATACTGGAGTCAGAGATGATGCTGACAGAAAGAACACAAATAATAGGAAAAACAAAATTAAATTTACTTATTGAAAAGGTAGATTTTTTTCCAGCTATGGAGTATTTATGCTTATGGGGCTATACAAAACCAAAGACTAGGAGAACCAATAATTTTCATTTTGCATATAATCAAGATCAAGAAAGCGAGATCCACATCTACTCGCCATCAAATTGGTACTGACTGATTAAAACTATGGTGCTCAAATGGTGATAGTGCCCACCAGGGTTTGGGGGAGGGGGAGATACACATCTTAGGGTTGTGGCAAGCATTGTGGGAGGGGGGAGGGGATACCTCTAACCCTTCCTAGGGAAAGGCAAAGATATACAATGTAACCAAAGGCAAAAAAAAAAAAGAAAAAACAAACAAACTTTTATCGGGTGGTGGGCAGATGGGAGGGGGGAGGAGGGGAAGGCTATATACTTACAAAATAGGTGCGATGCGTACCACAAGGGGGTGGACACGCTTGATGTTTTGGTAAGGCAGGGGGTGGGGGGAGGAATGGCAGGGGCAATATATGTAACCCTAACAATATTTGTACTCCCATAATATGATAAAATAAAATTAATAAAAAAATAAAAATTAAAAAAGAATCTAATCTTCTGTGTTTAGGTAACATAATGAGAACATTTATATATAGTCTTAGTAACTAATAGGTTTTTTTAAAACACCAGGGTGATATCCAATCCTTATATGGGTGCAGAGATAATAAAATGGGGCATCCTTTGAGAGGAAGTATTAATCTTAAAATAGTATTATAGAAGCATGTTCTAGGATGATGTTCTAGCAACAAGGGGAAGGTGTCTACTACAGCAAAATGGTCAGTAGGTACAGCAGCCACAGCCGTATGCAGCCCCATATCCACAGCCATATGTGGAACCGTAGTCACAGCTATAGCCACAGCCATATCCCGAGCCCCCATAGGAGTTCCCACAGCTGTGTCAACACTTAGTGACAGAAGGTGAGGTTTCATTGAGGTACAGAGGAGTCTTCTGACGTTTGAATGTTACCCTCTACCCTGGAACCTTTACATCCTGACAGGAAGAGTCAGGGCATACCAGCAATTTTGTGATTCGTGCAAAAAGTATTTATACCTAGTGTGTGTAAATCACCTATTCAGTTGATAATGAGAAGACCTGGTCTTCTCATATCTATAGCGTCTGTCTTAAATGAACACATTATTATAGGTTCTCCAGTTTTACCGGGGAACAATGTTTGGTTTTTTCACCCAGGCATTGTCTTGAGCCAATTACAAATCTATAAGGAAAGTTTCTATCCATTAGCAGCCAATCATCTGAACAAATGATCCCAAAGATATATTTTATACAGCAAGGCTCTGTAAAGGGTTGGGCAGTTTATGTTTGAGAATGCAACTATTAAAATGAGCTTGACGAGTTCACTTGACTAGCTTGCTAATTACTAATTTTTATAGGTGATTTCATAGGTGATATCTTCCCTACAGAAACTCCTCAATATTTCATGTTATGAAGTTCCTATGAATCCAAATACCCATGGATATAATATTCTGATGATATATTCACTCCTAGAGCCTTTTCTCAATAGATATTTATCAACTATAGGGGTTCATTTAGTTCCTTAAACAGCTGTTTAATGTTTTATAAATTACAAATTCCTTCAGGTATTTTATCTATTTGATCCCAGTGAAAATATGAAAGAGGTGGGTAACTTATGATAGAGAAATTGAGGTACAAAAAGAAGTTAAGAAACATTATTAATAATACTAAAGTCATGCAGCTTATATATTACCAAGCTCAAGTATTCATTCTTCTTTGTTATGCCACATAAAATCTCCCTTTCTGATCATTGAGTGCTCAAACACTTTCTGTAACAGGAATCTCATTATTTCTTAGGATGATCCATTTCACTGTGTAATTACTCTGTTATAAAATCCCCATGTGCGTTAGAATCTCTCAATGTTACTTGGGGTCTTAGATGAAATCTACTTAAATATTTTGTTTCCAAGCCTCCCCCATCAAATGGGCTAATTGCTACTCTCACCCTTTCATTTTCTCCACAGAATGGTCTATCTTCGAAACCCACTGGTATGGCTGGCTTCCTAACCTCTGCTGATGTGCAGATATGTAATCCTGGTTATCCGAGGCAACCACACATCTTGCCAGATAACTTAGAGAACAGAAGAGGAAGTCTGTTTTAATACTTCTCTATTCCTGCATAACAGATTATCACAAAAATCATGGCTTAAAACAACACTCATTTATTTATTATCTCAGTCTTCATTCATGGACCAGAAGTCTAAGCTCAACCTAGCTGGGATCTCTGTTCAAGGTCTCACAGTTGTCAGCTGTCAATCAAGCTGTTAGCCAGAACATCTGCAAAATCTCTTTTTTATAACTTAGAATTGTCACATTTAGTTAATCATGACCCCTGATATTGCATGAAATGTACTTATACTAAAAAGCTACCTGTTTTTTATCTGAAATTCTTATCTGAAATTTTCCATCTGTTTTTATCTGCCAACCCCAAACATAACATAATCACAGAAATGATACCCCATCACCTTTCCCAAGGTGAGAGACAAGTTACAGGTCACCCACACTCAAAGGGAGGGAATCATACAGGGTGTAGGTTATTGGGGGCCATCTTAGAATTCTTCCTACCCACACTTGTGAATTTATCCCTTTGGCTCAATAAGTGATGACATTTCCCCCAGGAGAGATGATGGCTATAGCAATATGGTTTCAGCATGCAGACATTTCAAAAATGCATTTCCTCTTTCCCCCCTGTCTAGAAGGCTATTTCTTTTCTTGTATGATTGAACAACTCCTAGTCATACTTCATATTTCAGCTAGAAATTTGCCCCCCTCCCTTTTTTTTCTTAGATTCCTGATACTTCTCTCTGCTTAATCTTAGTCCCGGTCATTCTTCTGAGTTCTTCTCTGTACTTCCCAAACATTCCTGCATATAACTGTTTTATAGCAATATTCTGTACTCTGATGTTTGTAACCTATTGTTTCTCATGCCTTTCCCACACTTTCAGAAAGCAGGGATGATATTTCAGTTCCCTGTTCATAGCACATAATGAAGTGTGCTCTATTAGGAGCTCAGTTAGTCTTTGCTAAGTGAGACTGCTCATTTATCTAATTCATAAGTAGTGGTTCTATGTCTTTGAGAATGACAATTTATCCATTTATCTATCCCCCTTTGCTCTTCCTCTCCTTGAGACTGCAATTTCTTTCCAAATTCAAAGGAATCTAGGAACATTGAATTTATTTGACCACGGGGTAGTTAAATCTTGACTAAAGCTCTGACTGTCTTTCTATATCCTGAATGATTGGATTTCTACAAACATGTTATTGCTGGCCTCTCCTTCCAGATGTAGAAATATAAAAGGTTCTGTTCTGTATTTTCTTGGTATCAGCATCACCATTTTCACAATCAAGCTTCAAAGTTCAAATTCAATTCTAATCTATTGTGTCCTAGATTTGGGGGACAAAAATGGGTATGCAAGATTGGGTAATTCCATTCTTCTCCCTAGTGGAATTAACATCCCCCTGAAATAACTTTTTTAGTTCGTGAGCCCACCTGGGTTTAAAAACATCCAATAATAGAGCACCTGATGAGGAATTCATTCTCGTGTCAGATGGTGTCACATATTAAAAAGAGCTCTTGTGTTGAGGAATTGATGTGTCATGAGTATGCATTCACTTCAACCTAATTAGTGTCTCTACAAAGATATAGAACACATCTGTCATACTAGTATTATTAATTTTGCAACACCATTCTTTAAGATATATAACTGTACATCCCACCCTAAATTCCCCATAGTGCTAAGGGCTAAGAAGAAATATGCACTTTTTAGGTATTGTCTTCTCTAGGTTTTTTCTCTCTTCCCTTTCACTGTTGTGTCTAAGACCTTATAGGTTCTGCCCTCATCAAGTCCCTAACATTCACCTGTTCTTTTTCATCATCTATGTCAACACCCAAATGCAGGCCCATCTAATCAGTCTCCAAGTTATTTATATACCTGACTTTTAAGCCTTCTCTCTCTTCCCTTCTAACTCACTTTTTGCACCACTAGCATTTTCCCAAAGCGGACTTTTCTGTCATGTTCTGTGTGTGTATGTGTGCATGTAGATGAGTGCATGAATGCTGACTAACATGGAAAGAAGGAAATGGATAGACCCAGAGTTGTGAAACACAAATTAAGAACAAACCCTTGGCTAATTGTGGTGGCCCATGCCTGCAATCTGACCACTTTGAAAGGCTGAGGCAGGAAGATCACTTGAGGATATAAGTTCAAGACCAGTCTGGGCAACACAGCTAGACCTTGTCTCTACAAAAATTAAAATGTTACCCAAGCTTGTTGGCCTGCACCTGTAATCCCAGTTATTTCGGAGGCTGAAGGAAGAGGATCACTTGAGCTCAGGAATTTGAGGTTGCATTGCATTGAGCCATGATAATGTCACTGCACTCTGGCCTAGGTGAAAGAGTGGGACCCTGTTTCTAAAAAAAGAAAATAAATAAGATAAAGAGCAAAGCCTTAAGTAAAATTAATTTAAAACACAAGATTCAGCCAATAAGGAACCATTTCCTCAAGGATGATAGTCAAGATACGTGACAGCCAGTATGTCATGGGCAGTGACCAGCCAGAGTGGAAGCCAGACATACACAATGGGAATAAGCAGCTGAGTATTATCACTCCCAACCTCTGAGGAAGTTATAGAAATATTAAGACAAAAAAAAAGGCAATAGCATGTCTGAAACAAAAAATTACAAAAACTTGTTAGGACCAGTGAAACATGTTTATTTGGAAACAGTCACAATATAGAAACATAGAAGAAGAAGGTCATGGGTTTACACTTGGACTCTGAGCAAAATGAGGTCTTCTGTCTTCCGGAAACATCATGGGGTAACTCAGGCCCCCACAATAGCAAGCAAGTTTCCAAAAAGACAACTCGTTTCTGCAGGCTCTGGGTACTCTATTCAGTGGAACAGGATGGGATTGTGAGACAACAAAGCAGAAATAGCCTTGAAGTGGTCATTTTAGAAGAACAGGTGCACTGCAGTTATGTTCTAGCAGCAAGAATAACATCTTCTATAGCAAAATGGCTGGTATCCATAGCAACCACAGCCATAGCCAGAGCCATATCCGCAGCCATAGCCGGAGCCATATCCGCAGCCATAGCCGGAGCCATATCCGCAGCCATAGCCGGAGCCATATCCGCAGCCATAGCCGCAGCCATAGCCGGAGCCATATCCGCAGCCATAGCCGGAGCCATATCCGCAGCCATAGCCGGAGCCATATCCGCAGCCATAGCCGGAGCCATATCTGCAGCCATAGCCGGAGCCGTAGCCACAGCCATAACCAAGGCTACCACATGAGTTTCTGTAGTAGTTGCAACACATGGTGTCTAGAGATTGGTGTTCAGTAGTTCAGTAGAGAAGCAGGTGGAGGATTCTGAAATCTGAATGTCTTCTCCTGCCCTGAGAACCTTATATACCACCAGAAATGGGAGGAGCACAGACTCTATGGGCTCATTATCACAGTAATTTTCATTTTTAAAAAGCTCATCATCATTCTAAGGACAACAAGTTATTCGTGTAATTATGTCCAGGATTTGGCCCTAGCCAGTCATGAGAATTGTAAGGAAACAGCTGTAACCTACACATTGAACAAGTATGTCATGTGGACTATAATCAAATATAATCACATTTGTTATTTTATCTGATTCTTACAAGAACAATGTAAAGTAGGAAGTTGTGTGTTTATTGTTATATTTTGCTGTTTTATTGCTTAAGTTAACATGTATAAGTTTAAGGTATATTAATACAATGTGATGATTTGAGATATATACATAGTGTGAAATTATTCCCATAATCAAGTTAGTTAACACATCTATCACTTCATCTACTTAGCATCTTCTGTTGTTTTTTGTTTTCATTTTGTAGTGAGAACAATTAAGATCTATTCTCTTAGCAAATTCCAAGAGTACAATACAGTATTTTTAACTATAGCTATCATACTGTACAAAAGATCTTCAGAACTTGTTCAACTTACAACTGAAGGTTTGTAGGCTTTGACCAACATCTCCCCATTTCTCCTACTCTAGAGCTCCTGGCAACCACCACTCTACTCTCTGTTTCTAGGAGTTTGACTTCTTAGTTTCCACATATAAGATCATACAGTATTTGCCTTTCTCAGTCTGACTTATTTCATTGATCAAAATGCTCTTCAGGGTTTTCAATGCTGCTGTAAATAGCAGTATTTTTTTCTTTTAATGGCTGAATAATATTGCATTTTATATCTATGTCTTTATTCATTCATCCATCAATGGCCACTTAGGTTGTTTGCATGTCTTGGCTATTGTGAACAGTGCAATGAACATGGGAGTGCATACATCTGCTTGAACTACTGGTTTTGCTTTCTTCAGATATAAACCCAGAAGTAGGATTGCCAAATCATGTAGAGTTTTAATTTTAATTTTGAGGAAAGCTTTATATTGTTTTCCATATGACGGTGTGAATTTAGATTCCCACCAGCAGTTCACAAGTGTTCCTTTTTCCATCCCCTCCCCAATACTTGTTATCTCTTGTCTTTTTGATAATCACCATCATAACAGGTATGAGGTGATATCTCATTGTGATTTTGATTTGCATTTCCATGATGATTAGTGATGTTAAGCACCTTTCCAGGCACCTGCGGTTTTTGTTTTTATACACATATCACTGGTGACAAAACAGAGACCAGAGTTGTAAAGTCACTTGCCCAGGGACTCTTAGCTGTTTAGTGATGCAGTCAAATTGGTTTAACACTTATTACAACACTAAAGCTAAAGCAGAACCCATAAATTATTTTTTCCTTAAGTTTTTCAAATATAAAATACTTAATGCATTTGGTAAAAGTGCCAATATTTTGCAGCATCTACCTTGGGCTTCTATCATCTGGATTTCTTCCTTTGTGATCTGCCATCATAGCTAAAACACCATGTAAACATCCGCCAGACAACTCAACCACCTCTCACACTTGCTTCGTAACTTTCCTTCTACACCATGTAGCCGTATGATAGCCACTCTTCTCATACTTCAGCATTCTTTATCTATTGTGAGAGTGCGATCTTCTTAATATCCTGCAAGTTTTTTTTAGAAGCTTCATCATTTGAGTAGAAATGATGATAACTCTTCTAGACATCTTTACTTTTAGTCAATACAGGGGAAAAGTACCATAGATCAGGAACCTCCATGTCTAAATAAAAACCTTAGATTCTAGGTTTGACTTCTAATTATGATTGCCCCAGTCATATAACTCTTTCAACTAAAATTGAATATTCAATATTGGCTTCATTTCTCCAAACTCCATGGCCCTTTCCACATTAACATGTCACATGCTTTCTTCTGGAAGTAGTTTTAGCATGACAATATTTACTTACATGGTTCTGTTGATCATTTCTGTAGATAGTGACTGGATAGTACAATTTGATTTTACAAGAATTTTTGAAGATCGACATCATTCAAGCCCTATAGTAAGTTATAGAAGCTATTCAGAGAGAGTAAATCACCATTTTCATTGGACTAGCCCCTGTCCTTTTACCATATGATACATAAAAGATGAGAGTATATGCAATCTTTGCATTTCCTCATCTGTTCACTCTTCGATTTACTGCAACCACTATTTACGGTTATCACATTCCTTCTCCCCCCCTAAAATTTTTTTTCAGTAAAGACTCCATATCTTCTGCCAAGTACAATGGAAACTTCTCAAGTAATTCTTACAATTTGGTGACAAAGTAATAAGTAGGACCAAATCATCATAAAATAAGCTACTCCACTAAAGCCCACTAATTTGTTACTAAAAATAATACAGTGAGAAACATGTCAACTTACTTGGTATCACAACATGTATTAGAGCTCATAACTATGCAATCCATGTCTGACAGATGTAGAAACACCTAATTTAGGAATCTGCCTATAAAGTTGTTGTGAAAAAATTGAGATTGTTATTAAAACTCTACAATTATCAAAACATTATTTATATCAGTAAGCATATAAGATTAAACCATATGACATTATCATTTTTGCATGTTAACAATGTAGAATATCAGCTATGTCATAATAGCAACCTAATAATAAATATGATAATACAAATCTTTTGGGTTTTCACAGTCATAGAGTCTGCATACTTTATTTAATTTGGTACTCTCAACAATTCTGAACTGACACTATTTTATCATTTTACCTTTGAGTATCCTGAGACTCAGAGGAGTTGAATAATATCCTTGTGGTTACACAACTAATAACTGAGGGAGCCTATACTAGAACACAAATAATGTGAGCCTAGAACCCAGGCTTTTAATTGCTATACGATTTTGTTTTTAGAGGTGTGATCATTTGGACAACCCTAACGGAATGATGTCTGTAGAGGGGAGAACAGTTAAAGGCAATGTTTCATGTACAGGAGAATTTAGATACTAACTTAAAAGAGGCCGTAAAGATTACTGAACATAGAACAATCAATATTGATACAATTATCCCTTCATTGATTTCTATGGATGTCTCTCTTTTTTTCTTTTTCAGTGTCATAAGTAATATATATCTGTTGTAAAGATTTTGAAAAAAATTAATTTCTTCTGAATGACAGGAGAAATATGGGCAGTGCTGTGCTGTTGTTTAATGATCTCTACTGGGGATAGGACTAAGGAGTGTCTGATCTGCCAATTTCCATGGTGTAAATATTCCTAGCATAACTGTTTTCAAGTTATCAGTGGTTTAACAAGTGGCTTACAAAATTCCTAAAAATATAAACCATCTTGTAGTGCTTTAATAATTGAATTTATCTTTCATGTTTACAACATTAATCAATTTTGAATTTCTTATGCATATGTGTGCATCAGGTATCTCTATTGTTGTGTCGAACCAGATGGAACATTGATCAGTCAGATTGCTGTGATTTAAATGTTTACCCCCTCCAAAATTCATGTTGAAACTTAATTGCCATTGTGACAGTGTTGGGAGGTGGGACCTTTAAGAGATATTTAGGTCATGAGTTTTCCACCCTCATAAATGGGCTACTGCCATAATTACAGGGGTGGGTTCATTATTGCAGGAGTGGGTTTGGTATATTTTGCCCTCACTCTTGCCCTCTCTTTGCCCTTCTGCCATCTGATACCTTCTGCCATGCTATGATACAGCATGAAGATCCTCACCACTTTGATACTGGACTTCCCAGTTCGAGAGCCGTGAGCTGATAAATTTTTGTTCTTTATAAATTATCCAGTCTTGGGTATTCTGTTATAGCTGCATAAAATGAACTAAGACATCCATTTACTAAATAAACTATCCCAGATGGAAAGTGTCTTTACTGGGCACTCCCTTGAAGTCTGCAGCACTGGCAATTGTAGTCTCACTGCCTCAGACTTATCTACTCCTTATACCTTGATAACATGGGTAGAGCCTATGATCTTGACTGGTGTCCTAACATGACTTCTTTTTCTAGCTAGTGTCCTCTCCTGTCCACTTTGTTGTTGCTGACCCTCTAGAACAACACTGTTCAATGCAAATATATCATGAAACACAGAGAAATTTAAATTTTCTGATGGCCACATTTTGAAAAGGTAAAAAGAAACAAGTGAATTAATTTTATACCATAATTTATTTAACTTACTTAACTTAATGTCTCCAAAATATTATCACTTAATATATGATCAATAGTTTAAAATTATTTGATACAGTTTTCATTATTTTTATTTTTTATTTCAATAAAATTAATGGGGTACAAGTGGAGGTTTTTTACATGCATGTATTGTATAGCAGTGCAGTCAGGACTTTTAGTGTACCCATCACCTCATAGTGTACAATATGTAATAGTGTAAATTACTCAATAGGTATTTTTTCAACCCTCACCCCTCCCCCTCCCCCTTTTGTTTCTCCAATGTTCATTATACCACTCTTTATGACCATACATAGCTATAGCTTAGCTCCCACTTATAAGTGAAAACATACAATATTTGGTATTTTGCTCCTGAGTTACCTCACTAAGGATAATAGTCTCCACTTTCATCTAAGTTGCTGCAAAGGACATTATTTCATTCTTTTTTATGGCTAAGTGGTATTTCAGGCTCTCTCTCTGTCTTTCTCTCTCCCTCTCTATATATATATACACACATACACACCATTTTCATTGTACACTCATTGGTTTATTGCATACCTTTGCAATTGTGAATTATGCTGTGATAAACCTACTAGTGGAGAAATCTCTTTGATATAATGACTTCTTTCCCTTTGGATAGAGACCCAGTAGTGGTATTGCAGGATTGTGTGGTAGATCTACATTTAGTTCTTTAAGAAATCTCCATACTGATTTCCATAGAGGTTGCTCTAATTTACATTCTCACCAAGAATGTAGAAGCATTCCCTTTCACTGCATCTGTGCCAACATCTATTGCTTTTTTATTTTTTAATAATGACCATTCTAATTGGAGTAAGATGGTGTCTCATTGTGGTTTTAATTTGCATTTTTCTGATGTTTAGTGATGCTGTGCATTTTTTCATGTATTTCTTGTTCATTTGCATATCTTCTTTTGAAAAAATGCCTGTTCATGTCATTTCTCACTTTTTAATGTGGTTGTTTGGTTTTTTCTTGATGAGTTGTTAGAGTTACTTGTAGAGTCTGCATATTAATCTTTGTCAGATGCATAGTTTACTAATATTTTCTCCTATTTTGTAGGTTGTCTATTCTTTTGATTTTTTTTTATTTTTGCTGTGAAAAAGTTTCTTTTTATTAAAAAGATTTTTAGTTTAATTATGTTTCATTTGTTTATTTTTGTCATTGTTGCACTCACTTTTGGGTCTCAGTCATAAATTTTTTGCATAAGCCAATGTCCAGAAAAGTTTTTCCTAGGTTTTTGTCTAGAATTTTTCTTTTTTCAGTTCTTACATTTAAGTCTTTAATCTATCTTGAGTTGGTTTTTGTATATGGTGAGAGATTCAGTTTCATACTTCTGCATATGGCTATCTAATTTTCTCAGCACTATTTTATGAATAGGATATCCTTTCCCCAATGTATGTTTTTGTCTGCTTTGCTGAAGATCGGTTGGTTGTAGGAATATGGCTTTATTTCCGGGTTCTCTGCTCTGTTCCATTGATCTATGTGTCTACTTTTTTGCCAATACAATGCTGTTTGGGTTTCTGTAGCCTTGTACTATAATTTGAAGTTGGGTAATGTGATGCTGACAGTTTTGTTGTTGTTGTTGTTGTTGTTGTTGTTGTTGTTGTTTTAGGAAATCCCATCAGACTAACAGCAGTATTCTCAGCAGAAACCTTACATGCCAGAAGGGATTAGTGTCCTCCTGTTTTTGGTCTTCTTAAATGAAAAAACTGTCAGTCAAAAATTTTCTATCCTGCAAAACTAAGTGTCATAAATGAAGGAGAAATAAAGTCTTTCCCAGCTAAGCAAACACTAAGGGAATTTGTCACCATTAGACTGGTGCTACAAGAAATGCTTAAAGAAGTTTTAAATATTGAAACAAAAGGTCAATACTTGCCAGTATAAAAACACTCAAAAGTATAAAACTCACAGGGCTTATAAAACAGTAACACAATTGAAAATACAAGCAGCTAGGTAGCAGTCAACATGATGACTGGAACAGTATCTCACATATCAACATTAACTTTGAATATAAATTATCTAAATGCCCTGCTTAAAAGGTATTAATATAAATCAGTGGAATGGATTAAAAAACATAATCCAAATATCTGCTACCTTCAAGAGGCTCTTTATTATAGTAAGTCTTTAATATCTAGTGTGCATTTTATGCTTACAGCACATTTCATTTTGGACTAGCCACACTTGAAATGCCCAATAGCCACATCTGGTTCGTGGCTACCTTAATGGACAATGCAGCCCCCTCAAGAGACTTGAGAATTCCTCTGTGAGTGTGGCCACTGATTAAAATTCTGTCATTTTCAGCAAGATGGACGGAATTGAAGGCCATTATATTAAGAGAAATAAGCCAAGCACTTAAAGACAAATATTGCAGATTCTCACTAACATGTGGAAGCTAAAAAAGTGGATCTCATGAAGATAGAGAGTAGATTGGTGGTTGCCAGAGGCCAGGAAGAGGAGGATAAGGGGGTAAAATGAAGGGGAACAAAAGAATATGAATGTATTTATTAGCACAGGACTGTACACTTAAAAATGGTAAAGAGGGTAAATTATATATGTATATATTACCTCAATAAAAATAATAATATACAAAAATTCCCAATGGAGCTTACTACTCTAGCCAATAAGATAATAGCTTATTTGCTTCTTCCTCTAAATTTCTCTGCCATGAATTCTATTTTCCCTCTAATGCAACTGATCAATTCTATCTCGTCCTTTATGGCTCTGCTCATATATCAATCTCCTTTGGAAGCAATTTTTGACCCTTGCCTAGCCTTCCTTTCCACATTCTGAGTGATTTAGGTGTCTTCTCTGAGTTCTTCTTGGTAGCCCATCATACCTGCAAGCATACCTGCTTTAATATGAATGTATGATTTACAGTTTTGCATCTAACTGAAGATTTTGAATTCTTAGAAGAAGGGGCTACATTTTTTATCTCTCTATCCCCAGACCAATTGCAGCACATCGCTGGAACATGAATCTTAAGGTTTGCTAAATGACTTAAAGAACAAATAACCGATTTTATAATTTATAACCTCTACCATATGAAATAAGTCATCAAAGAAAAGGATTTTATGTTTCTTTATAAAGGAGTTTTGAAACTTAAATCATTTCCTGACCACAGAAAGTACTCCCTAAAGATCTTCCCTTTTGTCCATAATATATTAAGGCAAATATTCATTTTTTCCACCCTCCACTAGACCCATGCTACACATGCACGTGCACGCACACACATACATACATACATACATACATACATAAACCTTTTCTAAGTTTATCATCCCTGTCTCTGTTAACATTATTATCATTTTTTCCTTTCACACAAGCTAAAAGTCTCCAAATTTTCTTTGACTAAGAGAGTCACAACATTTTGAAGATATGTTAAGTGTTAGTTTGTGAAGAACTTTTATGGGAAAAGTTATGTATAAATTATTTTATACATGCTTAATAAATGATATCTTTCCTTGTTTCAGAATGTATTTAATGTCAAAAAACATAACGAAACAAAAAGTAATCTTTCAAAGAGCTGTGATTATTAGAATTCCCCTCCACTGTTTGCAATACTAACTTGAGAGTCACACAGAGTAGTCAGTCCTCAGATCTGACTTACAAATGTTGCAGATGTGAAAACCATCCTGCTCATGAAAGAAACCCTGATTTTCTATCAGATGGAAAAATTCTATCCTGGACGTAGCCTCACTCCAGGACTGACTTTATCTGTAGAGCATCTTCCCTGGAGCTGGCCATTTTGTGGGATCTCTTAGCTCTAGGGACCTCAGAGAGTCAAACTCGTGTAATTATCCCTGTGATAGGGATGAGACAGTGACACATTTATTACTGCTGGTTGAAAAACGACTGCCACTAAATCTGAAAGGCTTTTTCTGTTGTAGGATTTAAATGATAGAGTTCTGACTACTCTGATGAGGAAAAGACCCTGAAGTCAGAACCCAAAAAGCAGTATATACTCTGCTTTAGAAAATCAGCCAGGCAGCTAGACTAGAGTTTTTATCCCATTTTCATATCTGCCCCAATCCAAAGAGAACTCCATTAAAATACAGGACCTTTCTCATTTCCAGCTGAAAAATGTGGCACCAAATGATCATACCCCAAAATTAATGAACTTCTTTTTCCATTTTGCACTTGGTATAGTCCTTCCTAGTCATTCTTTCATACTGACAACTTTTATTATCAGCTGAAATATCAACACTTAAAATACTTCCCTGAGCTATCTCTCTAATACTTCAATCCTTCCTCTCCTCCCCATTCAGTTGTTTCATTCCCTTTGTAGCAATTATGTCTGAATTTAAAATCAGTCTTTACTTATTTTTTAATCTTCATCTATTAGAATGTAAACACTCTGAGAGCAGGAAACTTGTCTATAATTTTTCTACTGTGTCTTCAGTGTCCAGCATGGTGCTTAATTCAAAAACATTAAATCACTTTCCTCAACCTCCTTATAGGCAAACAAATACATTTGCACTTCCTTCAAATGCAGATGTTGTGATAGTATATTTTTTCATTGAACTTAATCCATTCCTTAGTTTTTTCTTCTTCATGCCTAACATCTGAGTGTGACTCTAATTTTTAATAACCCTTGAAATGATCTCTTCCCTTCCATTACTTCTTTAAGCACTCAGGCTATAGCTTCTCTCCCTGGGACTTTTGTCATAACCTCCTGAGCAAGTGTTATTCCTCCCCTCTTTTTCAAGCATAGAAAGGAATACTTGTATTAGAGCAAGGAAGTACCCAAGGTTCCACCAACATATTATTAGCCCAGTTTTCTGGAGAGGCCAAATACACCTCAAAAATGGATTAATTCACAAGCAGGTACACAAATATTTGTTAGAAACAAAGAACTATTTTTATTGAAAATAAGTAACTTCCCTCACTATAGATGTTATGATCATTAACACAGTGAAAACAGAGAATCAGAGATTAAGGGAGTCAGGGCTAACATTTGGAGAGACAGTGAGATGATACCACGGATCCTATGACCGCAAAGATTCCATTCCAAGATATGGATAGCTGGAGCTCCAAGACTCTGTCAAACACGTGACTTGTTGGACACAGAAATCTTGGGGTATGGGTCCTTAAATCAGCATTATCTTTAGAAGTGTCATTTCAGAAGTAAATGGTCCTCCAAGAGTGATGTTTTAGCAGCAAGAATAACACCTTCTAAAGCAAAATGGTCGGTAGCCACAGTAGCCAGAAGAGGAGCCATAGCCACAGCCATAGCCGGTTCCATAACCACAGCCATAAAGGGAGCCGTAGCCACAGCCGTAGCCAGAGCCGTAGCCACAGCCATAGCCAGAGCCGTAGCCACAGCCATAGCCAGAGCCGTAGCCACAGCCATAGCCAGAGCCGTAGCCACAGCCATAGCCAGAGCCGTAGCCACAGCCATAGCCAGAGCCGTAGCCACAGCCATAGCCAGAGCCGTAGCCACAGCCATAGCCAGAGCCGTAGCCACAGCCATAGCCAGAGCCATAGCCATAGCCATAGCCACAGGAGTTGCCGTAGTAGTTGCAACACATGTTGTCAAGAGGAGAGAGAATTCAGGTGGTTTGCAAGAGGATGTTTCTGAAGTATAGATGCCTTCTTCTTCCCTGGAACCTTTATATACCCTCAGTAATTGCCAGAGTATACCATTTATCCCTTGACTTAGCGAACAAATATTTAAACAACTATCATGTGCCAGTCACTGTTGACAATGAATAATTGAGTGCTTAACAGGAGCCAATTATTTTGTTACTCTGGTTTTGTTTAAAGAGCAACATTTCAATGTGCTCTGCCAAAGAATTGTCTCAGTGAAATCATGTGCCTGGAAGTAAGACTGATATCCATTTTGAAAAACCTCTTATTATAAAGCATATACCTTACATAACAAGGTTTGGGGGAAATATAAGAAACTTTTGAGCATTTTTCTCTCTCCTCTTTCCTAAAATGTCTACCTCTATCCATAGGGAAGGAAATACTCCTGTCTCCTTGCTGAAGTCATGACAAGACTTCTAACCAGGCTTCTTTCTCCCACCCACTCTGCGCTTCCACACCTTCCCCTTGTCCAGCCTCCCTCATATCCCAGAAAACAGATCTACATCTGGTAACCCAAAGCCAGACTACATGCTGTCTGCAAGTGCTTTTCCTTCTCTTTCCTCCTTCCTTCCATATACTAGGCAAACTCAAGCCCTGGAAAGGCAGAGCAGCCCTTTTTTCCTCTCCCATTTTTTGTAGTTACGTACACAACTGTCATTGAGGAGACTCTTAAAATGTAACCAGCTTTATTTGGATTAGGAAGCAAAAAACCTCACTTAGACCAGAAACTAAATTATTTTCTCCAATGCAGATTTCATCAGAGTTTTGCACGATGAGCTGTGGTCACATTCCTAGAATTTAAGAAACCAATTTTTTCTTTCTCCTTTCACTAGTGTTCCTTGCACATTTAGTTCAGAAACTAAAGGAAAGTGGGTGATTTGAGGAGGCTGCCAGTGAAAGACCACCTTCAGCTTCAGCTCCTAATACTTTCATGACACAAAGTAGCACAGAAATGAGTAATATCCCCTTTTTATATATACATTTCACTCTATTCATTCAAAGTTCTCAAAATTACCCATTATCACAAATTCTCCATCTTGTACAAAAAAAATGTCATTGTGATTCTGAAATACAATGTGTTCTCTTTCTTCCCAATAATCTTATCACATACCTTTTCAACACAGAAAAAAGGAAAATGAGTATCATTTCTTCTGCCACTAATATTTTTTCTTCTCACCCTCAAGTCTCAGATAAAAAAGTCTCCTATTTATACATAAAAATTCAGAGCTGAAATCACTTCCTACAGGATGCCTTTCTTCACTGCTGCTGTCTGGATTAAGTGATCTCTCCTGTTTGCTCCTATTGCACAGACAAATGGAATAGACTTGTCGGGCTTTGTTGGAACTTTATCATTTACTAATTACAATATATTCTTGATGAAATAAACTGTACCTTACCCATGAGATGTTCCAAGCAGAGCTAGTGTTTGGTCCACATTTTACATAAGAGAAATTTATAGGTCAATGGAGGTCAAAGAATTGACCCAATTGAAGCCACTGCTGAAAGGCATGACTGTAGCAAATTATACTGATGCCACACCAAAAATTCTTTATACTGAAGCTTAGAACATAGAAAGAGTTCAGGAAATTATGTTTGTTTGTTTGTTTGTTTGTTTTTGATCTTAAAATTTCTACAACATTCCAAAAATGTCTAGTATGTACAGCTTCTGTCTCTATTTTTTCTATTTTTTTTTAATTTACCTTTTTAGTCCCAATAGAACCATGGTCATTCATTGTGCAAGAGGATACCTATGATTAGTGCTTGGATCTGTTATGTATCTGTTATATATATATAATATATATATATATCCATATATACATTATCGTCCGTTACCTCAATTGCAAAATTCCATGAGCAATGCAATTTAGGTCTCTACTTATAAGATACGGAATATCTTCCTAGTATAATAAAAGTGACCTAAAAAAGCAAAGAATTCATGGATAAAATATGTTTTTCTATGAATTCCAACTTTGCATTCCTATCATTAAAGGATTGCAAAATTTATCCACATCAATCATACAGATAAAGGTGAGGGTTCACCATCATTTATCAGAATTCCTCAGACTTTTATCATGACTGACGTTCCTTACAATAATCCAGGTCAGTTAGATTAGCAGCAAGTGAGCATATAGACAGGTGTTCCAAGTTCTTGATAGTTTAGGAAAGATATAGAACCTAGCAGAAATGAAGTCCTATGCAGAACTGAGCAGCTTAGCTTCTTCTGGCTTGCCACCCCCCCCTTCTTCCATGGAGTACACAGCTGCCAATAACATTCTTTGTGCAATAAAGTCCATTAAAATCAATTAAATTAGCAAATTCCTACTCCATTGATTCCTTTTGCACTTCCATTTACATGACCATATTGGAGAAACTTACACTTAAACACTATGAACTTTCATTTAAGACAATACCTATAAACTCAAAAACTGATTCTTAAAGCAAACTTAGATATAGAGGGATGTAGAAACAGTATCAGGGCCCCCTGTGCCCTGATCTCTCTAATCAATACCGCTTCCCAGGTTTCCTATATTCCTAAATTCTACTCCTGGAGTTCTGAAACCACATTTAGTCCAAAGAACAGGACCACAAATCCATTTTCCTGCTTTCTCTCTCTTCTGACTAAAATACATTCAATTTTTCTCCATTACAAAGAATCCATGATTTTTCTATGTTAGATTTTTCTCATCTCCAGATATAGTTTTAAAATTATAATATGTGCCTGTACATTTTTTTTGGCCGCTTTGTTTGGTGGGCATTCCTTGAATAATGAAGTTGAATTCCACAGACACTAACTGAGCTCATACTATAGGAAAGCTGTTGTCTTGGGAACTGGAAATTTGGAAGGATAGATCACACATCATTCTTCTCTCAGGATCAAGCTTCTGCACAAATAAAATGGCTCCCCCAAAAGAAGGAGATCTGTGTTCCCCTCAAAACCACCCTATCTTTTTACTGCCTCTACTTTAGGTCTCATCTTCTTTCCATACTAAAGTAAAATAGAAACAATGGAGCTATTGGCTCATTCACATCAGCGGTTCTTAACGGCAGGTGTTTTTGCTGTCTTGGACATACTTGGTGTGTCTAATCACACCTTCAATTGTCACAACTTGGGGCAAAGAAGAATGTTCCTGGCATGTAGTCATAGAAACTGGGGATGCTGCTAATTCTTCAAGGCACAGAACAGTCCCCAGCAACAAAGAGATATCTGGTCCAAAATGTCAATAGTGCTGAAGGCCTAGAAACTGATTTATAGCTATGCAACTATAAATAGGCTTCTATATCTCCAAGTATTTAATCCAAACTAACACTTTCTTCTCACTTTATACCCAACATCTGACCTTTCTATTACCAAACTTGCAGTCAAAAAAGTGACTTTTTTAAATGTTTGTTTCTTATTTGTTTTTTCTTGTCCTACTTGTCTAGGTTTTATTTAAATCATGATTTTTCAGAATCAGGCAGACTCCAAACTTTTAAATTATTTTTTTACTATAACAATCATAAAATCCACCTTGAAAAAGAATGTAAACTCAGGAAGATCATTTCTGCTACCGAATACTTGAATTTCAACAATAAAGGAATGAACGATGATCCAATACTTTATTAAGTCCCTTCAACAGGGATTTTCACAAAGCTGCCAATTTCATTTTTCAATAATCTTTATTATTAGGCATTCTTCCTTCAGTTGAGAAATCTTCCTACCTATCTTTTTCTGATATTGGTTACTGGTCTTATCTGATAACTCTGCTATGTTTCATCCCTAAAGATAAGCATTTTAAAAATCCACATTCCAATTTTTTTCTTTTCCTTCAGTTTCTTTCCTTTTCTATCATCCTTGAAATTCAAAAATACAAATTCTACTTCACATATTCCCTAGAACTGATGCTTTGCTTTTCAGTACCACTGCCAATAACCATTTCTAGGACATGACACCCCTGGATTACTGAGACAGTCTCTATTCTATGCATCACCAAACAACCAGCTCTGAATACATACCCAAAATGTGATTTACACTTGATATTTCTCTAATAAAAAATAGATGATTAACTTGACACATGTTCCAATGTTGATATGCCACTTATAAACTGCAAGATATTTGGATATATGCTTAAATTCTCTGAATGCCAGTTTCTTCCTTCTAAAGTGGGATCTAAGCATTTTTACATCATCATTTTTATATTTTTCATGTCTATTCAGTGCTCTGGGGCAGGAACTGTATGCAATAAATGTTACTTCCTTAATTCCATTTTTCTCACACCATAGTTTTAAATTCCCATCTAATAATAGTTTTTCAAATATTCATATTTATTTGTAGAAAAAAGCTGATTTTGTCAGAATTTAACTTAATAACTTTGTAATTTAAAGGAGGTTGTTCTATGGCATGCACATATGCTCTAATTAGAAACTTTTTATGATGAAGCTGCAAAACCCCTTCGAAGATAAATTACCCTCTCAGTAGCCTTTGTACACCCTTACTGAGCCATTCTGTATAGGAATTTAGTTCTAAAAATACAGTGTCAACTATACGTCATTGGGAATGGCATCATGTGTATTTTCAAGTTCAGCAATTACAGGGTAACTTTACATTGTGTTTTTTAAGCCTATCACTTGAGGACATGTTTAGGTACCAATCATTGAAGCAGCTCATGTGATTGCTTGTAGTTTCAAAAGGCTCAAAAGTTCACACATAGTAGAAAATCATTTCATTTTTAGGATGATGACTGTTTTCATATCTTCATTACAGTAACAATCAAGGCCAGAGGTTTATTAAACAATAGATCTCCAATAGCCGTATGAAATATGTTCTAGAGATGCCCATAGTTGAAGATGGACATAAATTTCCCTCTTATAGTACAGTATGGTTTTTTTTCTAGCTTCCGATGATTTCAAAAGTTTTCTAGTCTAAACTCTCATTAAATAATGAAAAAAAAAAATCTCTTCTAAC